CGAGCCACTCCCGGGCGCCGCCGCGGCGCTGGATCGCGCCGCCGCCACGCGGCAGCCCAGGGAGCCCCCGGCGTCGCGGCCAAGTCGGCCCCGCAGCGCGCGCCGCCCCCCCCGCGCCAGAGGCGGGTGGCGCTGACGGCCGCCAGCAGGGGCAGCTGGAGGAGCAGCACGAGGGCCGGGCCGAAGCGCGCGTCCGCCGTCACTTGGCCCCCCTCGTCGGTGGCAGAAGCCAGCCCCCAGCCCCCCTCCGCCGCCGCGCTGCCCGGCCTGGCGGAAAGGAGCCGCTAGCCTGCGCGCGCGCCCCTCGGGCCCCGCAAGGGCGCGCCGCGCTAGCGCTGGCCTGGGGCCCTGCGGCGGCGCAGAGCCCGGCCGCGCCGCGCACGTGGAGAGCGCGGCCCGCCCCCTCAGCTGCCCCCCGCGCCGCCGGGCAAGCGCGCAGGAAAGCCTCGAGGCTGGGGGGCCCGAGCTCACTGCAGACGCCCGCCATGCACGCCTGCCGGGCCCCACATAAGCGGGCAAGCGGCGGCGCGCGGAGCCCCGCGGCCCGAGCCCGCCGCCGGCGCCGGGCAGGAGGCAGGAAGGCCAGGTCGCGCGCGTCGCCCGACAGGACCTGGCGCCCCATGAACCGCGGCAGGATCTCAAACAAGCGGCCAAGAACCGCCACGTCGCATGCATCAGCTCGCGCCCCCAGAGCCGACGAAGGGTAGCCGCCGGAGCGATCCCGGGCCGCCAGCGGGGCAGCCGTCGGCGAGAAGCTCGCCCTCGAGGAGTCGGCGACAAGGCCCGCCCCCGCCGCGTCGCGCGCGCAGCGCAGCGTGCTTCCCACGCACGCGAGGTCGGGCACTTCCCCCCTCGTCAGAGGCCCAGGGAAAGGCAGGGCGCGCGGGTTCCACACCTGCGTCTTCCGCGCGCCCAGGCGGAGGCCCCGCGCCGCCATGAGCGCCGGCGCCGCGAGGAGCGCGGCGGCCAGTGCGCGCGGGCTGCCCACGACGCACACGTCGTCGAGGTATACCACCACCCTGGCCTCGGGGCCCTCGCAGCGCGCCGCCGCCTCGAGGCCCTCGTAGAGAGTCGCCACCGCCAGCGCGAAGAACGGCGGGGAGAGGGGGCCACCCCGGTCCAACCCCGCGCCCCGCCCTGACCGCCGCTGCTCTGGCCCCGAAGGCGGGCTCCGCGCGCAGCGACCCTGCCGCCTCACGTCTCCGCCAGCCGCGCGAGCTCTGGCAGGCGGCCGGCGACCTCCCGCGGCAGGGCGCCCTGGCAGAGCTCGCCAAACCTTTTGGCCGCGCCCGGAGATCACCGCGGCGCCGAGGCCTTTCTCCAGCGCGATCGCCACGACGCGGCGCATCAGCTTGATGCCGCTCTTGCGACCCACGCCAAACTGGTGGCGACCCACCGCTGCGGCGATGGCCCCCTTGCGCGCCGCCGCGGCCGCCGCGGCCGCCACCCTGCGCAGCGCCCCACTGCGGGCAGACGATCGCACGCGCCTCCCAGCTTCAGCAGCGGCAACAGACACCCAGCGAGAATGGCCTGCACGGCCTGCTCCGGCACCCGGCCCTCCAGGACGAGGGCGAGCACCTGCTCAAGCGCCTGCCCCCCCGCGCTGCGCCCGCGCAGAACCGCCCGGCGTTCGAAGCGGGCGCCAATGAAGCCCAGGCCCGAATGGCGCGGGTGCATCCCAAGGCTGTCCACTGTCCCTTTCTGCCGCTTCGGCCTCCAACGGCTCGGCGGGCAGCGCCGCGGGCGGCGGCGGCGGGCGGTCGGCGGACGCCGCCGGCGGGAAAGGGGGCGGTCAGGCCCCGAGCCACCCGGGGCCATTGCGCCACCTTCCTGGGCCCCGCGGCCGCCGCAGCAGCACGGTCGAATTCTCCGAGAGCGATGAGCTCACGCACCCGTCGGGCCACTTCCTCTAGTTTCCGCTTGCCCGCGTGGTCTTCAGCCGGTTCCCCGGGTCGCGCTGTCGCGGCTCAGCGGGCTGCCCAGTCGCCGCCTACGCCTGACAGAGGCGGCGCGGCAGCACTTTCGAGGCCAAGAGCAGCTCGCCACTACCCCTGGCGGGGGGCACCGCGAAGAGCAGCCGCGGAAGCAAGAGCACGCCGCGACTGCCCGCAGTGCCGGCGCGAATAACGTATGCGACCGCCGCGGCGCAGGCCAGGGGCGTCGCCGCCCATGCGGGCACGGGCCCCCGCAAGGCGCCGTGCAACTCGAAGCCAGCCCACCACTCCAGCCTGGGGAGCTCGCCCGCCTCTGCCGCCAGCACGTGCTGCGGCTGGAGACCGGTGGCAGGCGCGTCGCCCGCCGTTGGCTGGGCAGCCCCTGGCGCTGGCGTCGTGCATGCGAGTATGTGCGCGCGGCCTTTTTCCGGTAGTGCCGTTGGCTCGCCAAGCGGACACCCCCGGCGCGAAACCCTCGCAGCACACACAGCGGACCGCCATTTGTTTCTGGGGGCCTGCCGGCTGGCCACCCAAGTGCGCACCCGTGGAAGGCGCTGGGCAGCGGCGGCAGGCGGTGCAGCGGCAGCGACAGCAACAGCGGCGCCTGCGGCGCTCCCGGGGGCAGCAGCAGCACGGGGTGCGCCGCCAAGTTGGGCTGCCCCGGAGGGCGCGGCAGCAGCCGCTCCGTCCGCATCCTGCATCCCTTTGACATCCTGCGGTTTTGTTTTTGTTTGCAAAACGGCGGTTCCTGCATTTTTTCCACCCCCCCCCCAAAAAAAAAAAATATGTCTTGTCTGGGGGGTTTTAAGCGCGCAAGCCGCTGTCGGGTTGCATCGCGCGTCCTCCTCCGCCTCCTCCATGTTCACGTCGTCCCTGACTGGGTCAGCGCTCGGCACCGCCGCAGCGCCAGCCGCCGGCACCGCGCCGAGCCCACGTCACCCTCCATGGGAGCGGAGTTGGAGGGAGATAAGTCGGAGTGAGTAGGGAGGGCCCCGCCACGCAATGGCCCCTCCTCCTCCTTTTCCTCCTCCTCCTCCTCCTCCTCCTCCTCCTCCTCCTCCTCCTCCTCCTCCTCTTCCTCCTCCTCCTCCTTTTCCTCCTCCGCTTCCTCCTCTTCCTCCTCCGTCCGTTCTCCTACTGGAAACTCCTCCCTGTCGCACTCCGAGGCCGATCGAAACAGCTGAATGGGCGTTTCGCCTGAGACTTCCTCACCACGAATGATCTTGGAGCTCATTAAAATCTGCAACAAATTCACGGATGGAGGGCGGATGGCTCTCGCCTTAGCGCCGCGCACATTCGTCCCAAAAGTTTGCAACAACTTGACGGATAGAGGGAGGGTGGTTTTCAAAGAGTGTGGTTCTCGCCTTAGCGCCGCGCACATTCGTCTTAAAAGTTTGCACGATTTCACCGATGGGGGCCGGGTCGTTTTCAAAACGTGTCTCTCGCATGAGCGCCGCGCACAGCCACCATAAAGTTTGCAAGAGCTTCACGGATGGAGGACGGCCAAAATGTGGCTCTCGTCTGAGCGCCGCGCGCATTCGCCTCAAGAGATTGCAATAGTTTCAAGGATGTGTATGGTTGAAGTCACTATTATTGTGTTTGGCACGATGTCTGAATGTCAGGGCGCAACGCTCGCGTTGATTCGCGGTGTTGAAATCCCAGAAATGGTGTCCTGGCACGGTTCAGGACCGTTAAGACGCAACAACGATGAGTCGCGGCGTTGAAGTCCCATGAACGGTGTTCTGACACAGCTCCAGATTTTCAAACGGTTGTCTTCCAACGGGGCACTTCCCTGAGTAAAATAAATCCTTATATCAGGGCCTGTGAATAGAGTACTTGGGGGGACGGTTTATTGCAGCATCGTTGATGAAACTTGGGTTTACACTGGTCCCCCTCCACCTCCTCCTCCTCCTCCTCCTCCTCTGCCTTACACCGACGTTGATCGAGGGATCACCACGTAAGCTGGCATCAGGAAAAACATGCTGAATTAGGAAATAAACAATGGCGTTAGTAAGAAAACAAACGATAACCCTACCAGTGAAGATGCCTGGTGTGAGGAACCTCTCCGTCCTCCTCCTCATCTTCCTCTTCCTCCTCCTGCTCATCATCATCATCATCATCATCATCATCATCATCATCATCATCACCACTACCACCACCACCACCACCACCACCATCATCATCATCATCATCATCATCATCATCATCATCATCATCGTCGTCGTCATCGCCATCATCATCCTCGTCATCATGATCGTCATCATCATCGTCATCATCGTCATCATCGTCATCTTTGATGATCATCATCATCATCATCAGCAGCATCATCATCATCCGCATCACCAGGTCATCGTCATCATCAGGTCATCTTCATCATCGTCAGCATCAGCAGCAGCATCAGCAGCATCATCATCATCATCAGCAGCAGCATCACAATCATCATCAACATCATCGTCATCATCATCATCGTCATCAACATCGTCATCGTCATCAGTATGATCGTCATCATCATCATCAGCATCATTATCAGCATCATCAACATCGACATCATCTTCGTCATCATCAGTATCATCATCAGCAGCAGCATCACAATCATCAACACCATCGTCGTCATCATCGTCGTCATCATCGTCATCGTCATCAGTATAATCGTCATCATCATCACCATCAGCATCATCATCAGAATCAGCATCGACATCGTCATCATCATCATAATCATCATCATCATCATCATCATCATCATCATCATCATCATCATCATAATCATCATCATCATCATCGTCATCGTCGTCGTCATCGTCGTCGTCGCAATCGTCGTCGTCATCGTCATCGTCATTACAATCATCATCAGCAACAACATCAGCATCAGCATCAGGATCAGCATAGGCATCAGGAGCGAAATCTTGCTGTTCGTTTTCATTATCCCCCCTTTCTTCTTCTCCTCCTCCTCCTCCTCCTCCTCCTCCTCCTCCTAAGCCTCCTCCTCCCCTCTCCTCTTTCTCCTCATTCTCATTCTGACGTGCCCATCCGCCTCTGGCGTGCACGGCGTGTGTCTCCCTCTCTTTCTCTCTCTCTATCCCCTGAACTCCGCAGTCGCGATGTTGTTCTCAACGTTGATCCCTGGAGATCTCGACCCCTTCCGCACGACCAGCTCTCCACCCTAAGTCATTTTCTGGCGGTCCCGAGGCCCGGCGGGGGGTCCCAAAGGCCGAAAATTGCCAGAGGCCTTCCATCGTGGTTTTTTGACAAGCGAAGATCTCTGGGTCTCCCCTCCTCCCGACATGCGGACGAGATGGGCGCCGCACCCGCGAGGGACCCGGACGCCAACCTGCCCACCCGGGGCGGCAGGACGGGCAGGCGCCGGCCGCTCGGATACTGCAGGACCTCGTCGAATTCTGCGGGGCGTCGCGCTTGTTTGTGGCTGAGGTGGGCGGGGCTCGCGGGTGGGAGTGGCGGCCCGCGGGCGGAGAGGAGGGAGCAGGGAGGAGGGAGGGAGGTAGGAATAAGAGAAAGAAGAGAAAACAAAGCATGACAGAGAGGAGGGAGGAAGTGGAGGGACAAAGACGGAAACGGCAAGGAGGTGGTGCAGACGGGACGGGAGCGATGCTCCTTCCCCCTAGTTTTCGTCGGCGTCGCTCCCCTCGTGGTTTCCTCATCCTCATTCTTCTCATCCTCATCCTCATCCTCCTCCTTCCCATCCTCAGTTCCTTTATCTTCATGCTCCGCCTCCTACTTTTCCACCTTCTCCCCACATCGATCCTCTTTCCTCCCTCCTACTTCTCCTCCTCCTCCTCGATTCCTTTTCCATATCAATAATTTCTCTCTGCCGCACCCCGAGGCCAGTTTTTAGGGGCCAGGCGTTTCGCCTGAGACTTCCTCATTATTGCTGACCCTGGAGCTTAAAAAATCAACAACCGTTTCACAGATGGAGGGCGGCACGTTTTCAAAATGTGGCTCTCACCTCAGCGCCGCGCACCTTTGTTTCAAAAATTTGCCAGGGTTTCACGGATTGAGGGCGGTCCTGTTCAAAATGTGGCTCTCGCCTTAGCGCAGCGCAGTCGTTTAAAAAAACTGCAGGAGCTTCACGGATTGAGGCTTGCTCCTTCTGGAAATGTGGCTCTCGCCTTAGCGCCGCGCACAGTCGTTTAAGAAATGTACAAGAATTGCACTGCTTCTCATGATCAACAACGTACCAGAAGCTGAGTTTCGAAGGCTTCAGGATTATGACGGTGCAACAGTTACGTTGATTCGAGATGATAAGTCCCAGCAATGGCATTCTGGCACGATTCACGATTCAGGTTGATCCGTGGCGTTGGAATCCCGAGAGCAATGGTTGGGCATGCCTCAGGGTCTTCAAACGGCTGTCTTCCAACTAGGCAGTTCCCTGAGTGGACATGAACCGTTGTCGGGGCCTATGCAGAGGGAACTTGGAGGGAGGGTTGATTCTAACATCATTGATGACAGTTGGGCTTACACTGGTTCTCCTCCTCCTTTTTCCTCGTCGAAGACGGAGATCTTGGTGGCCAAGCAGGCAGCCATCAGAGACCTACAGGCGGGGGCGCAGACCTACGCGGGCCAGATCAAGGCGCGCATTGACGAGGCCAAGGCGAAGGCCATGGCCGTTGCGACAAGGCTCAGGGAGGCCAAGAAGCGCAAGACCACGGACCAGCTGCAGCAGCAGCAACAGCAGCAGACAGCCGCATCTTCAGCAGCATCGGCAAGCGCACCATCGAGTACGCCAGCACCGACGCCAGCTGAAGGGACCCCTACAACACCAGAGCAGCGTGATGAGCTCCTCCACCAGATCCGCGAGGGGAAGTTGCCTGCTGCAGTACCCAACTAGAAACGACTGCGGGGTGGCATGACAGCCAACCGCTCGGCCACCCCTGAGCAGCGCACAATATTTGTTGGCAATATTACTACATGGGGACCAAAAGTAACTAAATGGCTACGGGATGGTCTACAGGCGCACCGACCCAGCGGACGGGCTCTGTACGACGGCTACTTGTTACAGGAAACGCACCTCAAGCACCACGAGCTCCAGCACACCGAGGCAACTCTCGCAACTCTGGGACTCAAGGCTTGGTTTTAAGCTTCACGGCAGTCGAGGACATCGGAGAAGGGCTCCCATGGCGGGGTGACTGCAATGGTGAAGAACAATTTCAGAACCAAGTTTTTCCGCGAGATGGCGGTGAAGGGCAGCGTGTCGTCCTCGACGGCAGGCACATCACCTCTCGCCAGAGCCGAGCTCCTCAACTTCACGGACTGGATCCCGATGCTCTGGCACATGAAGGGCTACTCCATTGTCGTCATCAGCGTATACTTGGAGACCAAGCAGCCCCTCAAGTCAGGCACCAACGCGGACAGGTTGAAGGAGATCGGACAGTTCCTGCGTATACTGAATCTTCCTTGGATATTGGCAGGCGGCTTCAACGTCTCGCCATCCACATTCAACGCCTCAGGATGGCCAGAAGCGCTAGGAGGCAAAATCATCTCCATCGGCGATCAGGCGGCCACGTGCTTCAAGAAGGACGCGACGCCATCGCTCATAGACTACCTTGTGATCAGCCCATCGGCTAGACAACATATTCATTCATTGAGACCAGTCAGCGACGTCCCATGGGGACCACACATCGGCCAGGTCATCACGCTGAAGGGCGAGGCCATGATGAACCTCACTCGGCAGCTGGTCATGCTACATCCATTCCGACACCCGCGCTTACCACAGCAACCACCAGACCCCCAAAGCAAGAGACAAAGGCAGCGAGCAGAACATGTAAAGAAGTCGCACACCAACTCGCAAGACGACAGCAACGGCTGCGAGACCAACACCACTCAAGGTGACAATCTTGACGACGACGACTTCATGAACCAAAGATGGGAGGCGCTGTCACCGATTGGTTGGACAAGATACACAAGCACACCAGCAACGACAGCAGCAGGCTCGAGACCCAGAACCACAATGGACGAGGACTTCGAACCCATGGACTTCGACGAAGAAAACGCCGACCTCATGGATGACGAAGGCCCACCACAAGATCAGGAGAGAGCCGTAGACGCACCCATCGAGGCAGAGAATGACAACGACAGCGAGCTCGAGAACTTCTTCAAGAGCACGAATGACGAGCCGAAGCAGCTACCAGCACAAGCACCCGACGCCGACCAGGACCATGCACGAGCTCTGGTGCGAGACAAGGTACGACCACGGCACCTCTACCGCTTCGGCAGCACCAGCTTACATCACGGACAGCGCAGCATACCATGCAATCCAAGAAGATCACCACGAAGCCAGCCACATCTTCCACTCGCTCACACAGCACATGGAGAACTTCTATTGCAAAGCGTACAAGATTCACGAGAGCGAGCAGCAGCGCTACAGAGGAAGAGGACAGCCTTACCAGCTCAAATCATGCATACAAAAAGAACGTGGGATACGTCGACCAAGGTATGCCACATACACGGCCGGTGGGCTCGCGCTGAATCCTCCCTCACGGCGCTATTCCGTCTAAGACAACGAGGAGTCGGACACGAAGAAGTGCACGCCCTGGAAGCTTGCTGTCGACACCTGGCACACGACGGAGTACCATCGGCAGGATCCAAAGCGACTCACACAGCCAGATTGCAACGAGCACTTTGGAAAGACCGACTCACCAACATCCAGGACGTACCTACCGACACCATCGAGGGCATGGCTGCGCAGGCAGCGCAAGAAGCAATCCAAGCGATCAGGCGTGACTTGAGATGCAACGCACGAGACTACGCGACATGGCTAGCCAACAGCTGCGACAACGGCACCATGCACAGGATGACGAAACCTAGCATGCGGCATGAGGACGAAATGATTGACGGCGCCGTGACAGCGACCTCCACTATCGAGCGCACAGACCTCAAGCGCACGACGTTCAGCAACATCTGGAGCGACGCCCACGGCGACCACATCACCCACACCCAGCTGCTCAAGGACCTACGGGAACAAGCCCTGACGACCCCAACCACTACATGGAGCAGAGAGCAATTCGACGAGGCCATCGTTGGCATACCCGACAAGGGACGGGGTACGGACCGACTCAACACCAGCGACGCACGACGACTGCCCGCAGCAGGCAGAGACGAGTTAAGCCAGCTACTCAACACCATCGACCGCGACGTGACATGGCCGTGGCAAGCACTCCAGGCCATAGTCATGATCCAGCCCAAGCCAGCCACCGCCAAAGGAGCAAGCGCACTCGCCGACGGCGGCGACCGCGCCTTGGCGCTTCTACCCTGGATCTGCCGAACCTGGGAGCTCATGCATCGAGACAGAGTACGACTGTGGGCCAAGGATATAGAGGAACCATGGGACGCCGCGGTCGCGGGCAACAGCTGCCTGCGAGAAGCCATGCTGCGAGCCCTAGGTGACGAGATCGCGGACACCTACAGCATTCGGGCAGCAACGACGCTTCTCGACATCAAGAGGTTCTACGACTCGCTCAATTTCTGCAAGATCGCCATGGCCGCAAACCAACTCGGTTTCCCCAGCAGGATCCTCGCACTCTCCATGCAGATGCACCTCTCCGTACGATTCCTGCGCCTCAATGGATGCTACAGCGAGCCGGTATATGCAAGCCGCTCCATTTTAGCAGGGGCCGGACACTCGAATAACCTCGCTCGAGCACTGATATACGTCGTCCTGCGACAGTACAGCAGCAAAATTACGAAGACTCAGCCTAAGACATGGTTCGACGACATCGGTGTCCAGCTGCACGGTTCCGAGGATACCCTGGTGCAAGACACAGTCGACTCGACCAAGACGCTACACGAGGCACTACAACAGCAAGGGCTAGAGGTTGCGGCAAAGTCGGTCATCATCACGACACACATGAAGGACACCAAAGAGATCATCAAACGGCTAGCGGACCACAACATTCACATCGACGGCAGCACCGAAGGGCGCGACCTCGGCATCGACAGGGGCAGCCGTACATGCACACTACGACGGACACACCATGCACGCAAAAAGAAAGCTTGGGCAAAAATGAACCTGGTACGCACCCGCTTCAGAAGAGTCAGACGGCACAGAGTGAGAGGAGTGCTAGCCCAGGGGGCCATGGCATCCCTGCTGTATGGGGCCAAGGCGTACGGAGCATCGCCCAACGAGAGACTACAAACACGACGACACTACGCACGAGCACTAGGACGAGCGTGGCCAGGCAGATGCATGACAACCCTCATTGCACTTGAAGGAACAGATCCTGAGGTATCTATTATTAAAGCACAATTTACGGCATGGTTTGATATGTGGACGGCATCCCACGAAGTACGACAGCGTATTCGACGAGCGTGGCCGAAGATCAAGTCCAGACTACAGCAGCAACAACATGGACTTCGATGGCAACGCAAGCGCGGCATTATTGCCGCACTCATCACCACGTTGGGTGACCTGGGCTGGGACCCTCAGCGTGCCGACTACTGGACCGACCCCCAGGGCGACGGGTGGCTGCTCAAGGAGGAGGACGCGCACGGAGACCCAACCGACGTCATCGACGCGCTGACCAGCCAGGTCGAGCTTCAGCAATGGAGACAAGCCAGAAAGCACCACAACGGCAGCGGCCTCGAGAACGGCGCCGACGTGCAGGACCTCATCAGCCACCTCCAGCACCTCGACCGACGGGGCAAGCACCAACGACATGGAGCACTCTTGGCAGCTGCATGCGCTGGGACTTGGCCACGGCAGCGCATCGCAGACGCCTACGGCACGCCCAACCTATGTGAATGTGGAGCGGCTGACGACGACTACCACCGCATCTAGGGAGACTGCCCACAAAGACGACAGCACATCATATACGAACGAACTGAGCACCTCAAAGAGCGAGCAAAAGAAGGCATCGAGACGAACGCTGCCTTCTGGCTCAGAGGCATTACTCCACGACCCATGACCTGCCCACCACCATGCACTACGGAACCTTCGCACACCTGCAACGGCGACATCCAGCACGGCCAACTGATCGCAGACGACACTCCACTACACTTCTGCGGTGACGGCAGCGGAGGAGCCATGTCAGCAGACCGACGGTACCGTAGGTACGGATGGGGATGGGCTTGCATGAACCACACGACTGTACGAGCAACTATGCGGGGTCCACTACCAGGACCAAGACAGACGAACAACCGAGCGGAGATGTGGGCACTACTCAGCGTGTTGCAGAACTCGCAGGGTCCCATCATCTATTGGACGGACTCAGAAGTACTTATGAGAAACTGGAGGCGCAAAAGACACAGAACCAAAAAGTACCACTTCGGCAATGGCGACATATGGATGCGGATCAAAGACGCCATCGACCATCGGGGAGGAGGTGACGAGCACATCACGATAAGACATATGCAAAGCCACCTCGAATGGGAAGACGCTCGACGAAGAGATATACCAGAATGGGCGTGGCTCGGCAACAGAGCAGCAGACGAACAAGCCGACACAGCAGCACAAGAACACGCCATACCTGCAGCACAACTTGGATGCTACGAGTGGGTACGAGCGATAGGCAACCTGGTCAGACAACGTATCACACAAGCCACACTGGACTGCATGGAACGACGACGACCAATGAGTTGGGAAGATCGAGCGAAACTAAGGAGAGAAGCCAAATCGCGAAGACCACCAGCACCAACCCTTGACGAGCTGGCAACACTGAGCTTGCACCAGGTACAACAGACTCCGACAGGATGGCGCTGTGGGGCATGTGCACAGTCAGTCCTCCGACGACGCAGCACTGCAGCAAGGTGGTGGCTACTCTCCACATGCAGTATCACAGCGACAGCAAAGAAGCCACCTCTGACCCTCAAAGGACGCCAAGCACACTACTCCCACCAGATCGAATGGCACAAGCGGGACCAAGGGTGCTACTGCTACAAATGCGGCAGCATGGCGAAGCACTACATATCGGAGAAGCTCGAGCAGGAGTGTGCACCACCTCCACCCAAGTCACGAGCTGAGTATGTGGTAAGGGCTAGAAGAAAGCACGCCAACGAACAGCCGGCTAGCACAACTTCGACTCCAGCAACATCAAGAAGTGCAAAGGCAGCGACGGCACCGAGCACTGATTGACACTACTCAGCACAGACTGACACAACCAGCACTGACGCAGCTCTGCACTGAGTACTCGACGACAGCACTGACTGACGTAGCATATTGAGAAGTTCGACAACTAATACAAGCACGACGGCATCGAGCCCTCGCGCATGGACAGCTGGGAGACCTGCGGCTCCATGAAGGTATGCGGCGAGGCCTGAGAGGCCGTGAGGAGGCCCGCGGCCGCCGCCGCCGCCTGCAGGACCGCAGGCAGGAAGGGAGGGGACGTCGTTCTGCGGGGAAATCTCGGAAATCTCCTCCTCCTCCTCCTCCTCCTCCTCCTCCCCCTCCTCCTCCTTCCCCTCCTCCGCCTCCTCCTCCTCCTCCTCCTTTTCCTCCTCCTCCTCCGTCCCCTCCTCGTCGTCCTCCTCCTCACATCATCATCATCATCATCATCATCATCATCATCATCATCATCATCATCATCATCATCATCATCATCATCATCATCATCATCATCA